ACTAATTGGTTCTATTGGCTTTATTTAGTTATTTACTTATTTACTTATGTTAAATTGGTAATATTTGTTTTTTAAGACTAAGAAATATAGGACACTTAAACTCAGCAGTCACGAAAGCTACTTCTGAACTGACTAAAATTGCCTTATATATTTTCTTTATTAATTTATGTCAACCCTTGTCTCCTCATCAACATTCTTTATTTACAAACAGTAATTTCCATCATTTTCGGAATTAATTATTAAATAAACACGAAATAATTATAAACTAGTATATATAATTACCCCCCACTATATAAATACCCTATGTTGGGACTGACAAGACAAGAATCAGACCTTCTGAAACTGGATAATGTTATCTAATTCTGTATCTATAGTTGCCAGTGCTGAATGAAGAATCTCAACCCCAAACAAATTATTTAATATTACATGTGAAATTTATACGACCGACCGGACAATAAAATTATCGTTCAAAAGAAGCGGATCAATAATAAAATCGATTAATGCCCAGCCCTATAACAGGCTATGGATTTCTTCATTAAAGAAAAAATTAATCAAAGTTATGTATATGATAAATTTATAAATAGCGAATATATTTGAAAAAATAAATAAAGAAACATTGCAAGACATGCTACAATGTGCTTCCAAAATGTTTGTAAATATATGCCTTAGGGCATCTCCAATGGAGGCTCTATATTTCACTGGGCTCTAAATTATAGAACTTTTGCAAAAAAAAACAACACCAACAAGGGTTTTAGTGGGTAGATAAATTTAGAGATTTTCACAAAATTCCTAAAAAATTTCCTAAATATGTGTTTTCATTTGGAGACTCACTATCTGTTGGGTCCCACGACAAATGTTGTATAATAGTGAATAAAAAATTGTATAGACTTTTTATTTCTTTTTCTTCAATAATTTCGAATCCAATTTTAATGTTGGCTTTTTATTTCTTTTTCTTTTTTTCCTTCTGAGTTTTTAAGGGGTGCTTATTTATATTTAAAATTGTATTATATTAATATAGTTCAAAAAAAATTGTATTTACTATTTTTCATTATAATAGACATATATCATTGTTAATATTTTGTCATTTGATTTGTTTGAATTATTTTTTAAGAAATGTAGCTAAATAAAATAATTAATGACAGGGATCAATTTATTT